GCGGATTTCGTGCCCATCGGCCGAGCCCGTGTCTCCCCTCCGTCCGCTAGGTGTGGGAGGGTGGGAAACGAAATTGCGTGGAGAGCTCTCACAGCAAAACAGACAACTGGCAAAAATTACACCAGCCAGCAGTAGAAGAGCCGTCTACGGATGCATCCGCCAGACGAAGGGTGGCTCGTGCGGGATGTCGTACGCGAGTTCGACTCGAATGCGGAACTCCGCAAGAGTGCGTGCTTGCGCAAGTCGACTGCGGCGGCACGGCGGAGTGTGTAAGGTCACCTAAAGTCATCTAGCGGGAATATTCCCGTGCGGGGCGTGGCCCGTGGCGTGCTGGTTAACTATGGTTTGCGCAACGCAAACCAACATCTCAATCATCTGTTTGGTGGATACCAGGCTAAAAATTAGTGGCGGTCAATTATAGTGCGTTTCAAAAGTATAGACCTCTAGACGTTTTCGAATAATTCAAATTTGGTTTGAGCTTTTTGAGAAATTTCTTCAGAATATTGCTCAGGCAGCTCACGCAATTTTTCTCATGGAAATTTCTAAGCGATTGGATAACAGACGCCCAATTTCGAAAATTTTATGCACAAAGTGATCACAGATTTTATGTGGTATTGATGCTGGCCTAACGGTTTTTTGAAACCAGAGGTCTGGACTTTTGAAACGCACTATAGTGGCGGTCATTTCATCAGTCTTGCAAGCTGTTGAATGGTGTAATCCCAGCACAAGTTGCTATGTCCAACAATGTTACATAGCTGTTCGCTATCGTCACTTCCGCGATGGGCATGTCTGAGGTGAGGTCAGGGGCGGATCTAGGATTTTTCCAAGGGGGGTTCAGTTTTCTTCCGCCCTTATAAAGGGCGAAAGAACGGGCTTTTTCCAAAAAGGGCCGAAAAGGGCGAAAAAAGGGCGGGCACCTTTGGGAAAGGGCTAGAGGATAGGCGCTCTGATCCCATTGTCGAGCGCTCGAGCGCAGGTAGTGCTTCAGCCATTTCAAGGAAGTGTTGCTGCGCTCATTCTCCGCAGAGGTGACGGGTAGTGTTGAAGCAATCCGGAGGAGGACGTGGATGTTCGGGAAAACATCAGCATCGCAATGCACAAGAGCTCGTGGGGTAGCTGGAAGTGCGCCAGACTTCTCTGCTGCGTCCTTCCATTTCCTGACCCACTTTCGGATGTCAGTTGATATAGTTGAAGAGCTTGGCAGATCATCAGAGTACGTGTCGACCAAGCGTTGAATGTTGGCAAGTAGGCCTTTCCCATATCGGCCGGCCGAAAAATTCGCCCAAAGTAGCCTTTTCAGAATATCGCCGATCTTTTCGCCGAATTCTGAGATTTTACCAAGAAATCGCCGAATATACAAGTAAATGTACATGGAGAGTTACTCTTAACTCTTAACTCGTATCCATATGTCCTTTTCTCTTCCACAAATGTACATGTAATAATAATAATAATATCTTTATTAGGATGACCCAGAGGCTTGTCGCCTATCAATACCTTATTCCTTGGACTTTTGCTGACTTGGCTCCTAGACTACAAGTACAAGGGGTTCACCGCTTTGAAGGGTGTACATGTACATGTACATGTACCGGTATATGTATGAGCTAAAGTGAAAGTAGTACAATGTACATGTTTTGCAGGGTCGTGGGCAACTGGGCATGACCGCTCGTGTGCGCCTGCGCCACGGCCCGTGGGCATTTCCCAAATCGGCCGGCCGAAACATTGGCCGAAAATAGTGGTTTTGAAGAAATCACCGATCTTTTAGCCGAATACGCAATTTTCGCACTGAATTCGCCGAAAATTGATGTTTTAGTGCCTCAGTAGCATGCAAATACAATTTCTGTAATCATTGCCTGCGAAAGGTGGCTGCGACTTTAGAGCCGAATTTCCACCTTTTACAGACATTTTCAGCCGATTCTGGCGATTTTTTCAGCCGATCGAAAAGCCGAATAGCCGAATAGGCCAAAATAAATGGCCGATTTGGGAAAGGCCTATTGGCAAGGTGTTCGTCTGAGGATCATATCAACGTATCAATGTAACATCTGCATGATTCAGCTCGGGTTATATATGCGCTACGTCAGGATCCTAGGAGCAATTCGCATGCCTGGCTTTTGTAAAAAAATAAAAAATAAAGCACCATGGTCGGAAAAAATTTAGGGGGTTCGTTCGAACCCCCCCCCCCCCTGGATCCGCCCCTGGAGGTGTGTGTGTGTGTGAGTGTGTGTGTGTGTGTGTGTGTGTGTGTGTGAGTGTGTGTGGGTGTGTGTGTGTGTGTGTGTGTGTGTGTGTGTGTGTGTGTGTGCCATCCCATGCCCGACCTGCTCTCGGAAGTTCACACGTCTCCAGTACCTGGCTCAACACAAATGCAAGAAGTAACTCTGCCCTCCTTGCCTCTTTGAGGCACTGCATCACCTTTAGGTGGCAGTTTCAAGGTTCAAGGTTCAAGGTGTGTGTGTGTGTGTGTGTGTGTGTGTGTGTGTGTGTGTGTGTGTGTGTGTGTGTGTGGGTGCCAGCTAGTTCAGTTGGTGGGTACACTTATGCCAGATAGTGGTGGGCCTGTTGCCAACGGGCTCAGCTGCTTGAAGGTGTATTGTTGTACCTACCACCTTTATTGGTTTCAGGGTTCATATACTTTCTATTTGAAGTATACATACCTGTTAACCATGGACTGCTTCTGGCTAGATTAACTCTTGTGTAATCAATGGTGCTAGTGAAGCTTATATCAGATCCACTCTGATTTTGCCACTCACAATAGTAGCAAGTATTACCTTCACTGGGGGCAGGGGTAACTGCAGTTGGATCCCGGGACGGATACCCTGATGCCGTCAATCCTTTTCTGCACCTTGTCCTCACCCACTTACTGAGGCGTGGTGAGCCCATAAGTGGGATCATTTCAAGTCCACCCTAGTTTGGGGATTTCAGGGGGTGTCGGCCGTTGGGTGGTTCAATGGCCAATTGAGTCATCTTTCCAAGATTCCTTTTGGGTCTCTCTCCCCTCTCCCGGGGAGACCCACGTGACCAGTTTTGGCAGTGAGCAAGTACAAGTACAAGTACAAGTGTGTGTGTGTGTGTGTGTGTGTGTGTGTGTGTGTGTGTGTGTGTGTGTGATTTCCAATCGAGAGGTTGCGGGTTCGATTCCGGACGATTATGGTTGCACACGTCTTTCTTCTCTTTCTCAGACTCCTCCCGACTTGTCTTTCATTCTCCTGGGTGGTTACCAACAGCCAGTTCATGTCGGAGTATGTGGTGTGATGTGTGTGCAGAAAAATATGAAAAAGACCAAACGTGGGGAGTCACTGGCCAGAAAAAGCCACTTCATAGCCAGGGGCGGATCCAGACCCCAAAGCTGAGGGGTGCGAGGATGAAACTTACGTATTTTCTTTTGCAGTAGTAAACCAAAGACATAGTATGTTATGTGTGTTACTGTATAATATCATAATTACACATAGCACCAACATGAGTAGTATGATTAGTTACACATTGAATGTCAAAATTTACAAGTAATTTACGACTGCTACCGGTATGATTCTCAGTCAGACAAAGATTATGCTATGTACATGCTATATACACAATGTAGGGAGTTCAGTTCCGGTCACTGAAAAGCGAAAAGTGCAGTCACAGCTCGCCTGTACAAAGTGAATGGGCGCCTCGTGGCTGCAGTTCGAGATGCAGTTCGCGGCCCGAGTATCTTCTCCCACGGCCTTTTCGGCCTTGTCGATGCTATTTTTAGGTAGCTGAGGTCATTACCTTTCCAATGGTGCCACACATGCCATGCTTCCAAAATAATGGATTAATGCCTCCGCGCTTGGCGCGGGTGCACTTCGAAGTACTAATTTTGACCAGATCCGTACTCGGCTTCGCGAGGAACACCCGATTTTCGTGTTCAGCGGCCTGGAATTAGCCTAAACCAAGAGGATTCTACAACATTGAGGCTCGCGCTTTATCGCCGTAGAAGGAAAATGATCACAGAATCTATTTCATTCCTTGGTGCTGACCGCTTTAATGCGCTTCCCGAATCCCTTCGCACAAATCGTATCCCCAATTCATTTCGCCAGGAACTTAACAATTTCATTCATCTTGGGCACCCTGTAAGAAGACCTTAGGGTCTGTTGGGAATGTCCAAGTAAAATAATAAAATACAATACAATACAATACAGAAACCAGGCCACGGCGATTTCCTGGTGGTAGAAGAAAAAATCGAGTGAACTGCGCGCACACTGGTAGAAGCAGTGACGGTGAAAACGTGTGACTTCTGCAAGTCGGCGCGCACGGCATGCGTGCACACTGCATGCATGCACACATCCTGTATCGCCATGTATGCACCAGATAGTGCAGTGCTGGACGGAAACCACACGGCTTCCATACATACTTGCATTTACTTCTGTGACTACTTTCTCCCCCGTTTTCCGATCTTCAATCGACTATAACTCTAGATTGCCTTGGAATTTTGGGTTCAAATTTTCACAGGTTGTTTCTCGATTCTTCCCGGTTTAGAAACACAAGCGTTTTATGCAAAACTCTCGAATTTGATTTTTCAATTGAAGTCCCTACACAATGTCAACTCGTTAGTTCCAAAAAAGTTCTATTCCAAATGTGCAGCCCTGGCGCGAGCACGTGTCCAGAACGATCACGTGATTGCACACAAATCATCCGCGGATCCGCACAGCCAGCCTGGGCCTGGCCTGACCTTTTTTTTTTTTTTTTTTTTTTTTGGAAAAATCCTGACGGGTTCATTTGCACCCTTCGCACCCCCCTGGATCCGCCCCTGATAGCTGTGTGGTGTAGACCAGGCTGAATAGTGGCGGTCAATTCTTCAGCCTTGCAAGCTGTTGAATGGTGCAATTCCAGCACAAGTTGCTATGGCTTCTGCTGTAGCATTGCCATCATCGCCTCCTGCGATGGGCGTCAAAAGCTCAAAGGTTAAAGGATAGTGTGTGTGTGTGTGTGTGTGTGTATGTGTGTGTGTCTGTGTGTGTGTGTATGTCTGTGTGTATGCAGTAAACTACACAGACCATGATTGCAGTGAAGAGTGTATGAACCGTGCTACAATAACCAGTTTATCATCGTCCTGAAAGTACTTCAAAATGTCTAACAGTAAGTCAGACCAGCAGTCCACCATAATTGAATGTGCAGTATCTTAGCAACAAGCCTTTGGTTACATGTGATTACAAGAGCAAACAAGAAACAAAACTCCTATAGACAACAGACTTGCTAAAGAAAGTAGATACCTTGTAGAGAACCAAACCCATTATGGAATGTTTGTTGCTTACAACCTTTGAGCCGCTGTTTTCCTGCCGACTTGACTTGTCATTTGACTGATCGTGACTGCCATCCCGCAGAGCCGCCCGTATACAAGAAATCCATCAAATGAGTCACTTTGCAAACCTTGGATGCAGGAGGCTACATGATGTTGATATGTCCAAACATGACCCAGTTGTCATGGTGATTTGTTGTCCAGGATACTGTCCCAAAATTGCTAATGATTATCTGTCAATGGGGTTTTGATTAGTCAGACATTCCTGTATATTTGGTTTGTGTCTCTTCGTATTCTCACCAGGTGTCGACGACGTCAAGCCCAGGAGAGGAAGACCGCCCCAACAGAAGGCACTCGCAACAGCCCTGTCAAAGCCAGCTATCGCCGTTTCAACCAGCGTACAGCGTGTCAACTCCAGGAAGGGAGCGCCCAAGAAGGTGCAGGCAACAACAAGCACTCGTCGTAGTACTCAGCAACTACGACAGCGTCAAGTTGCAAGGACACCGACCAGGAGCTCAGCTGATCAGATAGCGCTGACAAACACTATCTCGAGTAAGTGTGATCCCAACCAGCGTGATTCACACAACCCATCAGCTGAGATAAATCATAGTGCAATAACAACACATTTTATCATGTCCCCTGCGTATCTGAATGCCATACATAAGAATGTTCCGGAGCACTTTAAGATTCACTCGCGGACGTGCAACAATTGCCACCTAGATGTGCTAGAGGCTGTTTACATTGCCAAGCTACAGCTTGAGCTTTGTAGACAGAAGGAGTTTGTTAGGAACAGCGGTGGATCCAGCGATCTTTACAGGGGGGAATTCCAGTGTAGTCAAAACTGAATAGCTGACACATATACATGGGCATGCATATGGTTGCCAGTAGTAGATTTAAACATTTTAGGGGGTTCCCCAGAACCTCTGGAACCCCTCCTGGATCCACCCCTGAGAAAGCTAGTGCTATTTTCACTTCCCACTTCCCAACTCACACCATTCTAATTACGATAACTTTAAGTACAAAGTAGAGGCGATGGTTCGATACCGGAACGTCTTGACAGCCACATTTGTATAGACCCAAAACGATCATCAGCGTTGATTGTTCACTTGAAATATGTTTGTGGAAGGAAACTGGCATGTTGAAGTTTGCTCTGAGGCCAGAGTCAATCGAACTGAGCCACTCCTTTGTGTTGACCCACTGCCTCCAAGTTGCCCAATTTTTCGCTTCAAATCAGAGGTGGCTCCAAACCGGACATGTTTTAGAGTGCACGTCAAATTCACTCTGAGTTCTGAAATTGGGTAATTGCTATCGCTCCACGATGGCCAGTACAGAGTAACAATAAGCCTTGTGTGTGCTTCCATTAGTTTTCATTAGTTTTGATTGGTATGCGGTGCTTTATTGGCGAGAGGCGAGCCGCTGTTTACCTGCGACAAGAAGTTGATTTTTCGAAAGTCGTAAAACTCAAGTCGCAGTACAAAGCAACGTGTCAAAATCTCACCTGCTTGATATGGTGCTTCTGGTCATCGTAGAGCCATACAATTTTGGCTCGGAGTAAAACACATCGTAGTCTCACTGTGATATATGTTTTCTAATCAAAATACGAAGAGAGAAAGTGAATATTGAGTCCGGTCCGGTTTGCAACCTATGTCCTATTTGAAACCGTCGCCTACCAGAAACTGGTGTAAAAGATATTCATCATGCAATGCATACATCTCACTGGTGTAAAAAATATTCAGCATGCAATGCATACATCTCACTGGTGTAAAAAATATTCATCATGCAATGCATACATCTCACTGGTGTAAAAAATATTCAGCATGCAATGCATACATCTCACTGGTGTAAAAAATATTCAGCATGCAATGCATACATCTCACTGGTGTAAAAATATTCAGCATGCAATGCATACATCTCACTGGTGTAAAAATATTCACCATGCAATGCATACATCTCACTGGTGTAAAAAATATTCAGCATGCAATGCATACATCTCACTGGTGTAAAAATATTCACCATGCAATGCATACATCTCACTGGTGTAAAAAATATTCAGCATGCAATGCATACATCTCACTGGTGTAAAAAATATTCAGCATGCAATGCATACATCTCACTGGTGTAAAAAATATTCAGCATGCAATGCATACATCTCACTGGTGTAAAAAATATTCAGCATGCAATGCATACATCTCACTGGTGTAAAAAATATTCAGCATGCAATGCATACATCTCACTATATCTACTTCAAGTACATACATAGTAAAAATATTAATAATGAAAAAATTCCTGCCCACACTAACTTCACATGGGTCCTGCCCGGAAATCTCGATTCTACTTTGATATGGCCTTACAGAGAACCAAAGCCATTATAGAATGTTTGTTTCTTGCAACCTTTAATTAAGCCGGTGCTTTCCTGCCAACTTGACTTGTCATTAGACTTACTTGTGAGTGCCATCCCGAAGAGCTGCATACAGGAAATCCACCAAATGTTTCACTTTGCAAACCTGCAAGAAAACACCTCTCCCTGTTAAAAGCGCAGCTTTACCGGGAGGTCACCCCACATCAGTTTAGCTTGTTTATGCTGAGGGGGGGGGGGGGGGGGGGGGGTGCACAAGGCTACATGATGTTGATGTGTCCAAATATGACTCAAATGTCATGGTGATTGGTTGTCCAGGATACTGTCTCAAAATTACTAATGGCTATCTGTCAATGCTGTTTCGATTAGTTCGACATTCCTGTATATTTGTTTTGTGTCTTTTCGTATTCTTTAGATGAACCATTTGGTGATCCCAAGTTCATTGCTAATATCCTACCCTGGATCTGTGAAATTGATACAACGAGGTTTCGACATGCTGTGCAGGGCAAATGCGTGTTCATAAGTATAACGGAAATTGAGACATTGCTGCGTCTGGAGAAGTACGAAGGAAAGGAAAAGCATAATTCTCACATCATCAGTCTTATTCGTCCTGGAGGCACAGCTGCTTATAAACTGCTCTGCAATGCAATCCATGACTTGGGTCCACTGTACAATGAAAAGTACCAAGAAATGCTTCTCCTGTTGCCCGTTGACCAGCGACCAACGACCAAGACATCCTCTCATGAGACAGGTAATTGATATGTCCGGAATGGGGATGATCACAAGAATGGTGTTGGGGGTGTGGGTATACCACTTACAGTCTGAACATCCCCAATTTAAACATTGCCATCAATCAAACTTCTGCTGTGAAGGGAAATTTTAGTTTTGTACCTTACCAGCAGAATTAAACTCATTACACCAAAGTATAGTCTACAGTACATTCAGAAAAAGATGATATCCTAGCTTTTGGCCAGAAATGGGTCAAATTTTGAGTTTTTTCTCAATTTTTGTTCGCAATCCCCATGGAATCCTCTTCCAATTGTGTTTTTGAAGTCTATTTCTCCAAAAAGCAAGCCATAACAAGAAAAGGATTTCGGCCGGGTTTTGCCCCCAAAGCACTGAATTGGGGAAAACCATGAAAATCCAACCCGTGCACTCCACTTGCAGAACAGTGCATTTGAGGTTCAAACCCCAGTTGAGGTACCTTTTTTGGACCCTTTTCAAGTTTCGAATCTCGCGTCACTGGCGAAATCACCAAGCACGAGTGCTCTCCGGGGCCAGCGCTCATCTTTTTCTGAATGGACTGTAGCTAAAACCGAACTGTACCCCTCTTGCGGCCGCGATACACAACAGAAGGCCAGCTGTGTAGTAGGAGAGAATACTTTGTTCTTTCTCTAAGTAGACGTCTGGGCAACTGACGTATGACAACTAACAAGTGAATATTATCCAGGAAAGTGGTGCACTCATCAGGGCAAAAGTGGTACGCTCACCAGCACAAAATGTGCACGGGTCAGCGATACAATGCTGTCCCAATGGGGACCAGTGCGAGAAGTGTGTACAGAGCGGGTGACTATAAAGCCTAGTTCACATTCGACGGGGCACGACGGGACGTGACGTAAGGATCGACGGGAAGCGACGGGACAGTCTGACGGCGTCCAATGTGAACACCAGGAAGGGGAATACAGCCGTACTGCCACACAGATCGGGAAGCGACGGGAAGAGTTTGATCGATCCAACTTTTCATACCGTAGACGGGCGTAGACGGGGATGCAAGTGTACAAAACAGCTGCATTTTGAGTGTGAACAGGAGACGGCGTTGTGCGCCGACTACTCCCGATTCGTACTTTGGAAATTTTTAGCATTTCGAACACTGTGCTTCCCATGATAACTCGCAGAATGGCTAACACGACTTGAGTTGAATTTTTGCAAGATACGGTCTGGTGTCACTTATGGTATTTTGGGATAGTTCAGGAGCGTGACAGACGAACTGTTTTATCATTCCCTGGAGCTATAATTTGAATGGCACAGCTTTCGATGCTACTTTTTTGGTGTTCATGAAAAACTGGTATTGTGAACTTGATTCCGCTTCATTCAAGGAGAAATAATTGAAAAGAAATACCGAAAATAAGAAAATAGGGCCAACGGTCACCCTGTCATGGGCCGTGCCTTATGACTGGCGTCGTTCGCTGCTGAATGACGAAACGACTGCAGCATGTCGTGTCGTACAAATCGTACAAGATTTTACAGTTCATCCCAGCCTTCCCGACAGGCCTTACGTCCCGTACCGTCAGCGTTCCGTCGAATGTGAACTAGGCTTTATGCATGTGAGTACACACCTGTTGCAAAAGCGCAGCAGCGTGTACCACGATTCAGCAGCGTGTACCACGATTCAGCAGCGTGTACCACGATTCAGCAGCGTGTACCACTATTCAGCAGCGTGTACCACTATTCAGCAGCGTGTACCACGATTCAGCAGCGTGTACCACTATTCAGCAGCATGTACCACTATTCAGCAGCATGTACAACTATTCAGCAGCGTGTACCACGATTCAGCAGCGTGTACCACGATTCAGCAGTGTGTTCCACGATTCAGCAGCGTGTACAACTCTATCCCCCACCGAAAAAAGACATCCTCTCCTGAGGATGAAAGCGAAACAAATGAAGCCCAAAAAATTGAAGAAGACGAATCGGGGAAGACAGAAAGAGGAAAGAAATGAGATTGTGAATGAGCATAAAAATGCGAGAATAAAACACATGTATGACCACAATTGTTGGACACGTGACGAGTAGCCGCACGCTGGACTCCGCGACGCTGCCGGGAGCGGTGAGACCGAAGGCACTCACGGACCGAGAAGACAGTGGCGGCAGAACTGGGTATCCAGGCATCTTGCAGCACAGGACGCACACTGGACGGTTGACCGAAAAACCACAACACAGCCGATGGGGTTACGAAAACTCACAGAGAGACAAAGACGCACACAGAAAGAAACATGGACTGACACAAACATCTCAACCATTGCCAAAAATCAGAAAAGAAAACCACACGAAGGAATGGAAGAACAGCAAGGAAGAACACATCGACTGAAACAGGATCAATTAATCAGTGAGGACACCAGATACCACGCAAACAAATCGGTTACCAATACGCAAAAAGACATTAAAGAAAAAATCACACAACGCTACCCTGAATAGCCCCAGGGCTCCACCCTCACAACCACAGGGATCCACCCTGACAACCACAGGGCTCCACCCTGACAACCACAGGGATAACACCATAATAACACCGGAAACATTTAGTACATCCGCTCGCAAAGCAAAAAACCAAAACCGTCAGACACTTATTGTGACGCACATGTGACAACCAGCAACACCCAGAACCCACAACACCCGCAAGGCAAACCGATACAAATAAGAGCATGATCCCTCCAGCCCACGAGGCAGACCGTGGTTCACCAAGATCGGACGCTCGCCCACCCAGGTGAACTGAAGAGACCCACATGCCGGAACACAATACAAAATAAGACGCTCACGAAAAAATTTCAACCTGGATCTAGAACGAGAATCCTAGATGCATTTTCGCACCTCCCACCAAACGAGAATCTAGCAGCTTTGCTACATTTTCGGCAGTGCATGCCTGAGCACAACAACGCTCCACACAGAACATGGAGAACAGTTTTTCAAGAAAACCCTGCCCTGTTTATTGTGTTGGACATTGTGAAATGCAGCTGTGGAATATCGACGAGTGATACTGGCAAACTTTGAAATTATTTTACAACAAAGCTGTACACAGCGTCAATCGAGATTACTCACTTATTTGTTTCTTTTGTTGATGCCTTTCAGCCCAGTTCTTCTGTAAAGAGTACAATCAGTGGTTCACACACACACACGCACACGCACACACACACACACACACACACACACACACACACACACACACACACACATACACACACACACACACACACACCTGTCCTGTCCTGTCCTGTCCTGTAGAGCCACTACCACTAGGGTCACGTGGGCCCCGAAGGGGCAGCAGAGAGAGCGAAAGAGCACGCCACCCGATGGCGCTCCAGATGCGAGACTAGTCGGAACCGGCGAGAGCAGATACACATATGCGGGAACTTGTCCCGTTCTCTGGCCATTGGACGGTGGCATTGCGTTGAACAGCAATGGCGGTTGCGTCCCTGGGTTGAGCGAAAACAACGATTGCAGGTGTCACAGTGAGCATTGCAGCACCTCCGAGCGGTAGTGTCACCGGTGACAACAGCAGCTGGTTCTGTCGGTACTGGGCACGCGGTAGAAGCGGAGCAACGATGCACACCCACAAGCCTCCGCGGCTCCGGAACCAACGATGACACCGAGGGCACTGATGTGCACCTCTCTGCTCCGAAACCGGCTTCTGCCGTTCAGCCGTGCACTTGTGCCTAGCGAGGTCACCCTGACGTGCGAAGTGCCGGGCGCATGTGAAACAAGTCACCGGTGAGGGTACGAGGGGATCCGGGGCATCCCAGGTGTAAGCCAACCTCCAGTCTGGGCGAGAGTCACAGGCAACTCTGTACCAGTCCGCATCAAGGTCTCGTGAGCGGAGGTCCTTTACAGCGCAGTCTTTCCACCGCCGACGTGGGCCATGTGCCGGGCGACGAGATGGCAGGGTGCCGAACAGCAACTGTTTGGGCAATTGCACGTCGTCCATGCGGGCGACATGGCCTAGCCACTCGAGGCGCCGATGCTGAACCTTGGTGACGATGGTTTCAGAGTCACCCCACTACTCAAGCAGCTGGTTGTGTGATAATTATGTGGTCATCCCAGCAACGATGGCGTGTGATACCCAATATGGACCGCGCGCATCGAATGTGGAAAACGGACATGCGACGGAGGTCCTGCTTCAGCGGCGTCCAGCACTCGGACCCATGCAGGAGCAGAGACAGGACACAGGCATTAAACACACAGCGTTTAATATGAAGATCTAAGTTCTTGTTCCTGAAAACTGATTGCTGCCAAGCACCACAAGCCCGGGACGCACTTGCCACCCGAGCGCTGATATCCTGCGAAGATCGGCCGCCACAGTGGATGATACACCCCAGGTACTTGAACTCCGGCACACACTCAATGTCCACACCGGCAAGCTGTATGGGCGCCTGGTCTGCAGCCGTGACGCCAGCTCCCGCAACCAAGAACTTGGTTTTGGTCGCGCTCACGGTGAGGCCAAACTCCGAAGCGGTCAAGTTGAACAGATCCAAGGCAATCTCAGCACCAGCACGCGATGTTGCAAACAGAGAGGAATCGTCCGCGAACTGTGCCTCTAGGGCGGTGGCAGCGGTGTCAGCCCGGCGTGCCTTGCGATATAGTTGACCCTCACCATAGTGGTAGCTGAACTGGAAACCAACGCCAGGAATACCTCTGACCCTCTGTTGCCACTTGGTGACTACTGCCCACATGAAGATGTTGAAGAGGACAGGAGCCATAGTGCAGCCTTGCCGCAAGCCGTTGGTGACGCTAAACAGACCCACACCTGTGCCACTGACGCGCAATACTGCATACATCCCATGGTGGAAAGATCGGATGACTGCAAGCAGGGGGGAGGGACACCAGCACGGGAGAGCACCTGCCAGAGGCACTCACGGGGCACGGAGTCGTAGGCCTTCTTCAGGTCAATGAAGACGAAGAAACCCTTGGCTGTATGCTCGATGGTCTTCTCGAGCAGCTGACGTACGCTGAACACCATGTCCGTGCAGGATCTGCCTCGCCGAAAGCCGCATTGTGATTCCGGGAGGAAGCTGCTGGCCAGGCCCTGGAGTCTCGTCTGAATGAGACACGCCAGGACCTTGCCGACAACATCGAGCAGCGCGATGCCACGCCAGTTGTCGAATCGGGTCAGGTCCCCTTTTTTCGGAATTGGTACCAGGGTAGCGTCTACTCACTCCTGCGGCACTTGGCTGGCACGCCACACATCTCCAAATAGCTCCACAAGCTTGTTGTTCAGCGACTCACCCCCTGCCTTCACCATCTTCGGCAAAACGCCCGAGGCTCCAGCAGCCGTGCCATTCTTCAAGCGAGCAACGGCGCGGCACACTTCGCGCAGCGTGGGAGGTTCAGCAAGGTCTTCGGCAAGCGGTAGTTGAGGGACACCATTTAGCGCGTTCGGTGTCCAAGTGCTCATGACGTTGAGCACTCCAGAGAAGTGCCTTCCCCAGCGCTGTCCCTGCAACGCGGTGACGTGCATATATTTCCGTTCTCGTCAACGATCGCTGCTGTCCGTACTGGTTGAAGGCCGCGCCCAGCAGACTGGAGGTCATGGATACATTTCCACACGACAGCGCCATTGAAACGGGCGTCGGTGGCCGCCTGAGCTTTAGATTTGATCCAGTCCACTCTGGCCATATCGATTGCTGCGCGTGCGTTCGAGCGGGCTGCCTTAAGCTCCTGATGAAACGGAGTGTCTCGCTGCTGGCCCCGGCAAAGCCAATCCTCGTAGGCCGAATTCCGCGTGTCCAGTAGTAGTTGGATGTTTGGCAGGGCTTCCTGGAACCAGTCCGGCTGACGCCGTTTGGTGATTCCAAGGGCTGTGGATGCAGCAGTGTCAAGGGTGGACTTGATAGAGGACCATTTCTCACTAATGTTGGCATTCTCAAGCCAGTTGCGGTCGATCTCCTCCTTGATCACTG